AACGCCTCCTCCTCTCCGTTTTGCTCGATTTCGTTTTCGCGAACCAGTGTGCGTCGTTGTCGCTCATCCATAGACGTGACACTTCGCTTTCCATCCCATTGCTTTTTTTTTATCAAGTTTAGGCCATGTCATTTCTCATCGCTGCTTTTCTATTTCGTAATTTCTAATTTATACCAACCGTAAAAAAGCAATCTACGATAAATTCGACGAATATTTAGAAAAAAATTTCTGTTCCGAATAACTTGAAAATTAAACGACGTAACTCGAGTAACCAGAAACCAGTACTCATTTAATAAAAAAAAATAGAATTGCTTCAATTTTACCTTGCACTTACCGTTTACCGCGATACACAAAGAGAAAGGATTCTACTTCCGTAAAGGTGAATTCGTAGCGCATACCTTCTGCCGAGTTAACAGCACAAAGTAGCGAAACAGCGAGAAAACGATCTCATTAAAGAGGTGAAGAAAGAATCTGGATGTTAACCGCGGGTGAAGAGAATAATGGACGTCGAACAACGATACCTTGAGAGAACGGTGAGATAGCTCGCAATAAACGTCCTTGCTTTTCGAAATCGGCTGCTGAGAATTCTGCCAGAGGGAGGGAAAGGGGGTCCACCAGGTCCTCGAGCACGAATGGGAGAAGCCAAGGGGGCAATTACATCGGAGAACAATTACAGGTTGGCACGTCCTCTTCTGGTGCCATCGCGGCTTTTTCTATCCCCGGGATTCCGAGTTGAGAAACGTCCAGGAACGTTTTCGAGAGAGATGCGAAAGGAGTGGGTCAAAGACATTTTTATTACCGTTCAACATTTCAGCTCGTAACAAATATGGTAGAAAAATATATATCGAAACGCGATATTCTCGTCTATTAGTTTGCATGGTGGAAATAATTCCTATTTGACTTTGCAATGAAACATGAAAGAGAAACACAAAAGAAGAGAATGAAAGAAAAACTATATCTAATCTAAAAGAAACTATCAAAATATATGTATCTTTCTTAATTTTTCATTGATCGTTCTCCTATATCCGACACGATAATGAAAATTAATTTGCAAGCTTGATTATAATTCGTGATACTAAAAGAGAGCCCATATCTGGAATCATAAACGTATTACTTAATCTAACTTAAATGCAATCAAAATATACATACCTTTCTTAATTTTTCATTGATCGTTTGCCTATATCTGAGACGATACTATATCGAAAATTAATTTATAAGCTTGATTATAATTTGTGGTATCAAAAAAAGAAACTGATATTCTGAAACTGAATCATAAATTTATTATCTACCTTAACCTAATCTAAATGGAACTATCAAAATACACGTTTCTTAATTTTTCATTGATCATTCGCTTATATCTGAGACGATATCTTGGTAGTATATCAAAAATTAATTTACAAGAATGATTATAATTTGTGGTCCGACTAAGAGAAGCCATATCTAGAAGTGGAACATCATAACCTTATTATTTCTTTGCATCGTAACTTAACCTAAATGCAATTATCAAAATATACGTACCTTTAATTTTTCATTGATCGTTCGTCTATATCTAAAACCATATCTCGGTAGTATATCGCAAATTAATTTACAAGGATGATTATAATTTGTGGTCCGACTAAGAGAAGCCATATCTAGAAATGCAACATCATAACCTTATTATTTCTTTGCATCGTAACTTAACCTAAATGCAATTATCAAAATATACGTACCTTTAATTTTGCATTGATCGTTCGTCTATATCTAAGACGATATCTCGGTAGTATATCGAAAATTAATTTACAAGCATGATTATAATTCGTAACCAATCGGCTTTAATTACTTTTTGCAATTCTTGTCCATCTATGGTCGTTAACTACGATGGATCGATCAACGTGAATCGATACGTGGTTGCACACTGTTGAGTTCGCGCAAACCTCATATTTCTCGAATCAGTATTCATCATTTGATCTCCGCGATAATGGCCGCAATTTAACTACGTGCCTTTATGCAACTATAAAATACAAGCATCTGTTTTAGAACTGCTTTAAACATTCAATCGCTCGACTACGAGAGGGTCTTAAAACGAATTTTACATCGTCGAATCGAAATCTCGGATTTAAGTAAGCCGACAAACCGTTCCATCCTGAATGATTTTTTTTTTTTTNTCATACGCAAAATTCATAAAATATCGTTAAAATTATTCTTAAATAAAAAGT